CCGACGCCCGACGCCATCCGACGCCCGACGCCCGACGCCCGACGCCCGACGCCCGACAAAGACGCCCGACGCCCGACGCCCGACGCACGACGCGCGACGCACGTCGCAAGACGCACGACCCACGACGCGCGACGCGCGACGCACGACGACGACGCCCGACGACGACGACGACACCCGACGACGACCACGACGACGACGACACCCGACGACGACCACGACGACGACGACGATGACGACGACGACGAACGACGCACGACGCACGACGCACGACCCACGACGCACGACGCACGACGCACGACGGACGACGCACGACGGACGACGCACGACGACGACGCACGACGACGACGACGACGACGACGACGACGACGACGACGACGACGACGACGACGACGACGCACGACGACGACGACCTGGTAATGCCAGGTAATGCGCTTTGTAATGCCATAAAACAAAGCACGCTCGTAATATCCTGGTAATGCCAGGTGATGCGCTCATCTTGGAAGTGAAGTAACAGTCCTGTTTAATATTTTAGCTTTGTAATGCCACAAAACAAAGCACGATTGAAAACAATGAAAGCATGCAATGAAAGCATGCAGCAACATGGCAAATGATCAACACCTGAACTCAACGGTTCAAGCGGTCAACAATGCTTCGACATTTTCGGCCACCCAGCACCCTAAATTTTCCGGAAATTTAGGGAGCTGGGCCGTGGCTTCTGAACATGATCAGGCTGCATCCGTTTCCTAAATTTCCTGAAAATTTTGGGTGTGTAAATTTTCGGAAATTTAGGAAAGCGATGAAGCAAATTTTCCGGAAATTTAGGGACCGAGGCTTCGGGCTACCCGGAACCAGAAATTTTCCAGAAATTTAGGGGAGCGAATCCGGCTTGCGGCCGTCGAAGAGGCCCAGCCTTTCAAAGGGCACAGCCCAAGCCCCAAAATTTCCCGGAAATTTTGGGTCCCGGGTAGGCCAAAGCGGCTTGCTCGCCGGGGTCCAGAAATTTCCGGCAAATTTTGGGGCTGGGGCACTCCGAGGCGTGACGCACCGCATAGGGCTGGTTTGACCGTAGCAATTTATAGAGTAGATGAATCTTCGAATATATTGTTTTCTTCGATACATAATCTTCCATACGATCCATCAAACAAGAATACGACCCAAATTTAATCCCAAAAATTTATTTTCCCAAGATCCCGGACGCCGAACAATATTCTCCTCATAAATATCCCTCTCCTTCATCAAAATCAATAATATCAGAATTCTCGGTTCATCTTCGATTTTGCTTTAACTTCCCTCTCCTTATTTTCTTCAATCGGGAGGGACGTTACAGAAATAAAACTATCGATACGATCTTCCATAGAGACGAAATATAAAGATCGAAATATCCAAGAAATCTATCAAATATCATAAATAGAATTCGAATCCATCATTTTCGAAATAATAAGAGAATACGAATTCGGAATCCATTACTTATTGAAACTCTCTATCAAGAATACGATGAAATCTTGAGATATCTGATGGATCAATGAATTAATAAATTATCCAATTCATTGAGGAAGATATAGAGAGATATATTAGGAGATTCAATAGGAATACGTCATAGACAAGATATGACGAAATATAAAATAAATAAACCAAATAAGAAAATCTTATATTTGTTGTGGTTCTTTTTAAAAATACTCTGTCGACCACATATGAACTTTCCTCACAAGTTGAAATTCCGATCCGGCCCAAAAACCCAAGACCCCAAATACATCGCCTGTAATCGGCAGGAAAGACCGGAGAAATCAAGCTGCAAAAGCCAGCCTCTAAGACACGTGTTGCAGGGCCTGACGATTCCTGGGCCCTTCGGCCCCGGAGTGGCAGCGAACGACCGAAGATGAGGATGGTACAAAAAAAGACATGGCTGAATCCAAGAAAGGAAATACCAATTGCTCCCGACCCAGCATCCTGCTGAAATCAAGCAAAAATGCCACAACTCTTGGAGGCCCCCCCAATGCCCAAGTCAGAATTCCCAAGCCCAAGTGCCAGAAGCGTTCTTTCGAGATACAGAGTGATCGACTGACACTCGTGAAGTGCAAAATGGAAGTTTCCCCTACAGCCTAATCGACTCTACCTCGGCAATACCTACTGCTTTGGCTGTGCTTTGGCAACCGCCTTTATATTCGTTTCACCAAACCTACAGTCTGATTTTCGTCCATCTATTTGTCAGAGCGTCTTGTGAAATAAATACATTAAACAATAGCCCAAGCCAGCGAAAAACTAGCGGATGTCAGGCTTGACTTCTAACTGGTGCCGTTGCAAGCACGCCAAGGCCGCTGTAGCCGTAGGTCTTTGTACCTGGAGTTGCGGCCCGGGGCCGAAGCCATCAGGGGACCCAGGGGACCGTCTAAGGAAAATGGAGAAATGGAGACTTCGAAGCTTCAAGCCCGTGCCTTCCGTGACTCCGGCTGTGTTCATCTTTAGGCAAGAAGTCTTGGTTTGACTAGTTTGGAGAAGACCGACATCAGGGCCTGGAAGGTCTGACCAAGAGCTGTCACCATGTATCTGCATATCCCGCTACTGCTCCGACCGCTCCGGCTACTGCTCCTGCTACTGCTCTTCTTGCTATCTCCAACTCCTGCTCTCGTCATACTATACCACCCAGCTACCACCACTACCACAACCTTCCAGGGCACAAGAAACTCGGCGATCCAGGTGGGCAGTCCATCCTTGGGGCCGACGACCTCCACATCTGAGCTTCTCTGGGCGCTGGATTTTCAATCCGTTTTGACACGATTCTTTGTGGCCAAGTGCGTAGACGTGGTAGATCTCTACACGAGCGCATCTTCTTGTAATTACATGTTCCAGATCTGCGATGTAACATTGCAGGGAACTCAACCAGGAACATCATGTGCGATGAAGCTGGAAGGAATTTTGTCAGTTTATTCTAGGGGGAAAAGGTCTTTTGTTACAAAGGTGCGGTGGGACGCGGATGCGGGCGGGGCGGGCGACGGGCGGGGCGGGCGACGGGCGGGGCGGGCGACGGGTGGGGGATGGGACGCGCGGGACGTGGGACGTGGGCGCGAGGACGCGAGGGCATGTGGGGGATGCAGGCGATGTGAGTGATGCGGGCCGCACGCCAGGCGAGACGCGGCAAGGAAACTCTAAGAAGCCCTAAGACCGAAAACCCGAGAAACCCTGAACCTGCAAACCCTGGAACCCTAAACTCGAAATAAACGGCCTAAGCCCTAAACCACCTTAAGCCATAAAACTTCAAACCCTAAGACCCAAGACCCCACCAAAAGCCCTAAACATAAAACTAACCCTACATAAGCCCTTGAACCTTAAACCCTAACCTTGAGAACAATGTAAGCCGTAAGCCTTCCAAGCCCTGTAAACCCTAAATAAAGCCCTAAAAAACCTAAACCCTACCCCCCAACCCAGCTTCAGTTTCTGATACGCCCTAGTCTCTGGTTCGCTCCGGTTTCAGACTGGTATTTTCTGATTCGTAGTTGCTGGTTCGCAGGCTGCTTTTTCGGATGTTTTCTGTGGCGCGCTCTAGCTACAGTAGTCACCAACTGCCCACACATGTCCAAGAAGGGGTGTGATGCGCATGGTCTCCTTTCGCACAAAACCTGCCCCCGCAGTGTTGTTTAGGGTGTTGAGCAGGTTTTGAGCCACAAGTTGCGCCGAATGAAGCTGGCCTCCGTTCCTGCGCGAATGTAAGGGCGAGCCCAAACGACGCCTTCCTTCTGCTGCAGTGAGGTCAGGAAGTCAAGATTCTGCAGCGTGCCGCTTTCTTCCGCGTTGATGTCGCAGTACGCTACCCCTCCACCAGGAGGGTTCTTGTCCTGAGCAGCTCTTGGCCTACTCTACTTCTCACGAAACCGACAGAGTTAATGCTGCCGCTTGCGTGACAGTTACTCCAAGGACAGATGTCAGCCGAGACTCAGCGATAAAAGGGCGGCAGGGAATGCCGGCTGCCACAAAAAGTGTCTCCTCAACGAGGTCGACACCCCAAACTCGCAGGTTGGTTTCGTGAACCTGCCCTCCGCCCATGCGAGCGTTGACCTCGATGAGGTGGGGCCCATGCGAGGTATACTTGCACTCGACGTGAAACACCCCTTCCGTAAAGCCCAAGCATTTCAGGGTGGAAATGGCAAGATCCTTGAGCTCCTTTTGCCGATTCGAAGGCAACACCGAAGGGCAGACAGCGTAGGTCTCGTTGAAGTAGGGCTCGAGGGTCGGCCCATTGTCCGTGACAGCGGCGTAGCGCCACTCGCCCTGGCTCATGACTACGTCAACGTCCACTTCGTTCCCATCCTTGCTATTTGGGAATAATTGCAGCCGGCTGGTATTCGCCTCGGGCTCTCTGGCCAAAAGGCGTCGATGTGGAGTCTCCTTCCCTCCCCGCACTCAACCAATCCCAACAACTCCCGACAACCTCCGAAAACGCCCGCGACCCCCCCCCCCGCCCTGCCCCCCCCGACCGGTCTTTGTTGTTTCAGCTGCGCTTGGCTTCTGACGAAATTTCACGAGCCTCTCACGTCTGTAGCTTCAACCTCTGTTTGTTCATCAGTAGCTACGCGCGACAGGAGAACAGTTTGGCTGCCGCTATACTCCGCTGTGCCCACCGCCACCATCCGATACGAAGATTCTTAGGACCTCCTGACACTCCCCCCGCTGACGCTCCGGGGAAGCCCTTGGAACCCTATAAAGGCAATGGATTGCATGGCTTGGGCCGGCTGCCGACGTGGCGCTTGCCAGGGAGCTCAAACTAGTTTAACAACGCTGCAAGATGCTGCAGAACCCTTCAGAAGATCTGAGATTCAAGGTACTGCTCCATGAGGAGCGTGCAGTCCATCGCACTCTCAGCCTTGATGCCCTTTCCAGTGCCATCATCCTGAGTCAGAGCACCACTTGACACCACCAGCTTGGAGAGCTCCGAGATGATTTCGACGTAGCTTTTTCGCAGTTCCTGCTCGGAGCTCACCTTCTTCACGCCTAGGGATGCCGCCCCGGAGATGGGCTTGAGCACCTGGAGGGGCCACCCTCAGAAACACGAACTTTGATTCCAACAAGGGGGGCAGGCGCATGGCTTCTTTTGGGGGATTGTTTGGGAAGCATTTTTTGGGCTGTTAAGTCTCAGTTGTGCTTCTTTATTCGTTCAGCTTTCTGGCCCAGTCCCAAGGCGACGCGACTGTTTTATGGCCCAGGCGCAGCCGGAAAGCCTACTGTCTTCATCGCCTCACTGAGCTCATCGGCGCCTCCGCAGGAGAGCGCTCAGGGTCTAAACCAATCGAGTGTTCCCCATCGCCAAGGCCACCATGAAAACCGAAGTGGCTTTACTGTGTCCACTCTCGGCCCTAAACCAAGCAACAAACCCTAAATCTGAGCAGACGCCGCATAGGTGATTATGGGTGAATCCTGTGATAAACAAAACCAAAATACTCTCCTCAGCTGCAAGCATTCCTACTCCCCGGCCTTTGATGAGCATGTTCTTGGGGGTGGGCAGGCCAGCAGCTTTCATCTCTGCACGCGTGCGATGTTTGTCCCGGGCCTTGTCCACCTTTTGGACGCGGATCAAAAGGACTCGGGTCGGCGTTTCAGTGTGTTGGGCCCAGTAGGGCCGGTGTGTAGGGCCCAACGCAAGGCCTGTTTAGATGAAGGGTTTGGGCACTTGAGAGCCTTGCGGGGCCTCACGGAGTCTTATGGGCCTCCAGATTTTTTCTTCTGTTTGGGCGGTCACGGCTGTGCATTTATGTTTCTGCCGTAGCAACTCATTTGCAAAAGAATTAATGTAAGCCTTCTTGTCTTAAAATTGTGCTAAATAGTGCTCCTAGTGCTACAAAAGTGCTAAGACAGTGGGAAAATGCTTAATCGTGCTAATTGTGCAAATAGCGCGAAATAGAAGCGCGAACTCGTGCGAAATACACAAAAACACAAAGAAACACATTCATTTAGCACAAAGCGGCCACAAAGCGGCCACATGACAAAATTTGCAGCCAAAAGGGCCAAGACAAGCAGGAACTACTTGCAAAGAACGCTCTCAGACCTAGGCAGTGTCCCATCTACCAGTAATTATGGCTTGAAAAGCTTCCATGATATTCAACCTAAACTCATGTGTCTTTGCGGTGTTGACTCGGTGGCGTTCATCATGGATACCCAAATGTCGGAGGGGCGCAAAGGGGGGAACGGCAACAGCCTAGGTTCCAACTCTACGACTGGTAGACTGAACAGTCGAAAACTCTTTGGACTCAGAGGTTTAGCGTTCGTTCACCATGGAGGATCCTCTCTCTCCACGTGAAACCTCAAATCTTTACATGCCAAAGCATAACATCCACCCGGATACGTGACTCGTGAATCCTCAACTCAGCGGAGTTCAACTCTTCACTGACAAGCTTAATCAAAATCCTTAAACTGAAGTTGCCTGGGCTCTTAAGCATGACTTTGGACCCCGAAGCCCAGATCTCACAACCTCTCGAAACCTGTCAAAGCATCTAACTGTTTGACTTTTTCAACGATCTTGAATCCCCAAGAACTTCGTCCTTGACGTCCTATTTTGGGCCAAAGCCGCGGAGAGGGGTCTGGGGCCTGGAAGGCCCAGCACTTCTGCCAGCCTGCACGTCACGCTTGACAAGCCCTGTTGGTTTGGGGAGTCTCCGGATTTGGCTTTCGAAAATTCTGGGACCCCAAAACTTGGGCATTGACATGACCTTGGTAAGCTTAATGGGTTAGTGTTGACGATGTGATTCAGCCTAGGATTCACTGGCGCGGCTGTCAATACTCCTTCTTCCAGGTGCCGCCTTATGACGAAAAGGATAACGAAGGTCTGGAACGAGGGCTTTGGCAAGTACAGAAGTATAGTACTATTTTTGTGCCCTATGCAAAAACCTCGCAAACCACACCAGCGCCTTCATTTTAAGACTCACGCGTCGTCTTCGGAACTTCTACTTTTTCCTACTACTACTACTACTACTACTACTACTACTACTACTACTACTACTACTACTACTACTACTACTACTTCTACTACGACTACTACGACTACTACGACTACTACGACTGCTACGACTACTACGACGACGACTACGACTACGACTACGACTGCTACTGCTACTGCTACTGCTACTCCTACTACTACTGCTACTGCTACTGCTACTGCTACTGCTACTACTACTACTACTACTACTACCACTACTACTATCCTCAGCTCATACCATGTCAGCTTTGGAAAGGAATACCTAGCGCCACACTAGCGCTATCCTAGTGCCTACATGGGTGAGAGCCTGAAACCTGCACATACGCATGGTGCCGCCTTGTGGCGAAGACATAAACCAGCAAGAGCGGAACTTCATATCGCACCTTCATCATATTTTACATACATGGTATTTTGACGTCTGCCCACTGGGGTGCAGACAGGCCCTGAGCCCTAAACCCTCAGCCTCGCCACAACTGGAACGGAGAGCTCGCAGAAGGTGATAACGGCGTCGGCATCGAGTGTCAGCGGATCATTTCCTCAGATGCTGAAGGGCCTGCCTTCAGGAGGCTAGCGGATCAGGGCTCAGTTTGGCGCAGACCTGGTTTCGGATTCCCAGGTTAGGAGCCCACCAGGAGTTTAGGGGCTCCTCGTTCGGGGGAGCTTGGCCAAATAGAAAAGGGGGCTGCATGGTGCACTTCCCCCCCCCCCCCACGGCCCTACATCCCTACCTAGGAAGAACAACTCGATCTCTGAGCTTCCAAGTGCGCGAATCGCTGCGAGGGACTGCTCGAAAACGGCCTCTGCATCCTGACAAAACGGTTTGGGGTTCCAGGACTGTTGCTCAAGTAGAAGCTGCGGTTTGCAGCCTAGGGTTCAAAATCCGCATGGCCCGAACTCCTTCAGCTGAGATTTGACATGGGGCCATGAGTCCACCTCTGAAGGGATGAAACCTTCTAATTTAATTTTCCGTTGATCCAAGTTCCGTTTAGGCCTCGGACGAGAGATGGCTTCAGAACAAATCGCTTGTGGGCTGAGTTTTGGACTTGATACACTTGCAGACGACAAAAGGCTAAGGTTGCTAGCTGGCGCTGCTGCTGCTGCTGCTGCTGCTGCTTCTGCTGCTGCTGCCTGGGACATGTCGATGGGGACGAATTTGGCGATGACGCCCTCATCTACCAACGACTTGGCCCAGCTGTCTGGGTGCTCGATGATGACGCTCTTAACCTCGGGGTGAAACTGGATGACCTGCTTAACATAGGGATCTCTGCAGTTCATGTCTCATTCGGGGATCTTATATCATGCGCAGAAGTACAAGAGTCCCTCACCTCATTGGCGGTCCCGCATCTACTCCGCACGTATGGAAATGTGTGGCCAAGCTGCGCCCAACTGCATGGCGCGCTCGTAGATGAAACGCTTGCCCGCGTAGCCAGCCTGCGGGATCACGACAGGGCGTAGTGGCTGAGTGTCATACTGAGGAAGCTAGAGGGTGGGTGCGTCTTTGCGGACTGTGTGACTGTGCGTGTGTGCTGGCAAGATGCGTTGCAAACCAGTTCATGAAGCACGTATTAGGCAACTTCGGCACAGTACATCGCACAGAGCATGCGCAATGAACCTGGAAAGAACTGCGTACAGACCGCTACAAAGCAATGCGCTTGGCGAGCTCCCTAGTTTCCCACACGTTGACATAAAAAAAGACTGCGGACAGCAGACTTTCAAAACGAGTAGACAGATTGGACCTTAAACTTAAAGCTCGAACACAAAGCTCTTTTGCGAGACCGGGTTTGACACTGAGCCACGGTAAAGAAGACGATGGTCGCCCCCTCCAGAAGCTTCCGCCGGAGCGCCTGTCAAGTCTTGGGGATCATTCCGATGATGCCTAGTCTTAGCTCGGACGATGCAAGTCACTGCAAGTCACTACCCTGTACGTACTACATCTTTCTACAAAAGCGCCATGCTTGGAGCACGAGAAGAAAGGAGTGCATTCGGCGCGGTTCTGTTGCACACCCAGTCTGTCCTGCGCTTCCTCCCCGCTGGCTTCCACCAGCTCTGTTGGAATGTGGCCTCGATGTTCTTTGGGGTCTGCAGGCATAACAGTCATGGGGCATGTGCCGTCTTCGTGCACAGTTGCGAGGTGGATGGAGGGGAACACCTGTTTCGCCCCAAGCTCTTCTTCGATTGCTTCTTCAGTTTCGTTCTTACTTCCTGGGACTACTTTATAGATCCCTCGGCAAAAAGCCCGGGGCGGCCCTTCCAACATTTGAGGAGGGTTCTCGCTGTTGGGTGGTCACCTTATCGTTCTGCAGGCTTTTGGGACTATCGTACGGAAACCCTAAAAAAAAATACCCTAAATCGAAAGACCTAAGCCCTCAATATGAAGACATGTTGTTGGAACAATCGAAAACAAGTCAAAATGACCACTGCTTGACTATGGCTACTTTTTCGACCTTTCTCGTTGTCGCTTCGTTATCGCTTTACGCACATTGGGGACAGCCCCTCTTTTCTCATGATTCCGTCAAAGAGGACCTGGTGGTCAAAAGGAACTAGGAACAATTGGGAAGAGTTCCTAGTTCAAAGGCGTTTCTTTCGGTCAAGCAAAGTAGTCTACGGGCATTTTCGTGATTAGGCACTTGCTTTTTTCATCGCAGGGCGATAAGGTGACCACCCAAAAGCGATAACGGCATGTCAGCGTATATACAAAACCAGTGTGAGTATTTCCTGTAAATCCTGCCTTTTTTTCACGACTCGCCGTAGCCCTGTTGGGTCAGTGCAACCCTGGAGCAAGCGAACCAAGTGAAGCCAGCCCTTAAGTCCTGGGCGACTTGTTGCTCTTCTGCCCCCCAAACACTAAACATCCAAGGCCAGGAGCTAAGCATCTCAAAGGTGGCTGTGGGCTGAAGTGCTCGAAGGATGGCCTGGCTTCATGGCTTCAGGCCGCCGGGAGGATTTACTTGTCGCTTGGGTTTTTGGGGGGTTTGGAGGTTTGAGAACTCGGGGCTCAAAGCACTCAAAGCCATACTAGTAACAGTAATAGCTATAATAGTAGCAAAATTTAAAAATAATCACAATAATAATAATAGTGAAAGTCGTATTAATCGTAAAAATAAAAAGAAAAGGAGAAAAATAGTGAACATCACAATAAGAATACTAATAGTAATTTATAATAATAATAACAGTCATAAAAAAACAATAATGGTAATAAGAGCAATAAGGAGCAATAAGAGCAATAAGAATAATAAGAGCAATAAGAGCAATAAGAGCAATAAGCGCAATAAGAGCAATAAGAGTAATAAGAGTAATAAGAGTAATAAGAGTAATAAGACGAATAAGACTAATAAGAGTAATAAGAGTAATAAGAGTAATACGAGTAATAAGAGTAATAAGAGAAATAAGAGTAATAAGAGTAATAAGAGTAATAAGAGTAATAAGAGTAATAAGAGGAATAAGAGTAATAAGAGTAATAAGAATAATAAGAGAAATAACAATAATAGCAATAACAGTAATAGTAATAACAATAATGGTAACAATAATAATGATAGTAATAATCATAATAGTGAGAACAATAAGAATAGTAATAATAGTAATAGCAATAATAATATTAATGATAGTAGTAATAATTATAGTAACAAACGTAATAATAATAGTAATAATATAATAATCGTAATAATGTAGTATAATAATAGGAATATAGTAATGATAGTAATAATAGTAATAGTAATAATAGTATAATGTAATAATAGTAATAATAGTAATAATAATAATTAATAATATAGTAATTAATAATAATAGTAATAATAGTAATAATATAGTAATAATAGTAATAATAGTAATAATAAATAGTAATAAATATAATAAATAATAATAGTAATAATAATATAGTAATAATAGTAATAATCGCATAATCAATAATAATAATAGTAATACTGGTAATAATAATAGTAGTAAATAATACTAATAATAGTGATAATACTGATAATAATAATTCTAATAATAATAAAAAAGAATAAAATAAAAAAGTGAAAATAGTAATCATAGTACTAATAACAGTAATAAAAAAAATAATAATAATAAAACTTGTGATCATGGTAATAGTAGCAATAATAATAGTAACAGTAATAATAGTAATAATAATAGTAATAATAATAATAGTAGTCATAATAGTAATAATAATATTAATTCTAGAAATACTAGTAATACTAATAATACTAGTAATACTAGTAATACTAATGATACTAGTAATACTAGAAATACTAGTAATAATGGTGATACTAGGAATAACAGCAATACCAGGGATAATACAAGTAATCGTAATATCGGAGCTCTTGCAAAGCTGTGCAAAGCTGCCAACAAGTGCAAAACGCAGCACTCGCAAAAGTGGTTTTTCCCTCGGCGGGAGCGTCATTGTCCCTTAGAAACCTAGGTTTTAGCACATTCCTGGTTCTTGCAATGCCACAAACACAGTCACACGTCTCACACCAGGCACTGTTACGTAGCTTTTTGCTGTTTTGTTTTTGGGGGGGGTTCGATGTCGAGACTCCACAACCGTCGAAAAGGTTTCAACCTGGACCCGAAACTCCAAACAACAGTCCCCACAGTGCCTAGAACCTCAACTCCTCAAAAATGACCAGGCAGCCTCTCGCTGGCTTGCTGTCCTTGCAGCCGGCAAGCTGCCTGCTGAAGCGAAGCTTTCAAGGTCACTCCTGGCTTGGCTTTGCTCCTCTGTCCCCGAGTCCTTCTTTGATTTTTTTGCAGGGCTTCGGGCTTAGGGGGTCAGCCCCTTACGCACATTGCACCTCCCCCGCACTCGGCTGGTGCGGAAGCTTCACTCAAGGACGGGCTCGGGGCAGGAAACGCGCACGGCTCTGAGGCAGATTCGGGTAAGTTCTGCCCCGCCCGCGATGTCTGCTTGGCTCTGACAGTCTTTAGGAGAGTAGCGAAACCCCTGACGAGAGCTGGCGAACCTCCTGTCAAGACACAACCTGTGAAATGACATTCCCGGAGAACTCCCCCCCCATTCTCCCATACTGCAACTCAGGTTTAGCTGAAACATGTGCGGTACTTGACTTGCTTTTCATAGATGTGTATCCGGATGACCTAAGCAGAGTCAACCCCATCCAAGCAGCTGGCCTTAACTCCCCAAGGCCGCCCCCATCACTTAACACATCACCGCACGATCCTACGTCCTACTTACGTCCTTGTGTACGCTCTTCAATTTCAGTTCAGCTTCCGCCGGATGTGTTCCGCAGCGTGCTTATGTTTCCAGCGATGCACTGCCATTTCGCCCCACCGGATTTATGGCTGCGCCGTCCGCCGATGACATTTGAAGTTTCTCGCCTTCTCCAAAAAGTTCGTGTGGTGCAACTGTTATCAACTGCGCCCGGTAGTCGTTTGCTCAGGAGTTCGGGCACCTTTGGCAGCCCAAATTGTTCCGAGGTTCAACTTGTGCTCCTTTGTCTTGACCCTGCCCATCACTGACCCAATGCCTCCAGTGGGCCTCCAGGTCCCTGACACTGTCAAACCCGAAACCACAAAAATCTGCCCCTCAGCTCGGACGGCTGGCCCTACAAGCAACAATTCAACAAATCCCTCAGGCCTCAAACCCAATAGCCTAGGCCGCAAACCCAAAAACCCTCACTACCAAGTCCAAAAGCCTCAAGCCCAAGTCGAAAACGGCAGCCTGGAGCTGAGAAGAGTTGCTCTGTGAGGAAGTGATGTTGTGTGCCTGGCCGAGGGAAGCACATGGCTGCTTACAGTAGGGTTTGGGGTTGAGGGTCTTGTGTATTGAGTGTCTGTGATTTCTTGGAATACAAATGAAACATTCATTGTATGCTTACGTAGTAGCCTTTGTTTGGATCAAACGAGCCCTGGGGATGAACCCCTGGGCGACCCGAACTCGGTCAACACAAAGTGGGTTAAGGGTTCGTGAGCTTGCGATTGCGCGCCTGCCCCGCGACGTGACGGGCCGCTGCCTTGCCTACCCACCCCTTATGGGCTGCGTGCTAATCAACCCCTAAATCCTTTGCCAAATCAGTGATGTCAGGCTCCCCTTTGTGCTTCCAGGCCTCCAGGGCCACAGCTGCCTGGCGATCACTGGCAATGAATTTGGTTTTCTTAGTGTTGATGTCTACACAGGCCGAAAGGCGAGAGGGACAGAACCACTAGGGAAAGCAACCAACGCCTGCTTACATTGAAATCGTGCGTATGCTTCTAACTCAAAAAAGCCACAAAAAAAACAAAGGAAAAACACAGAATGCATGGGATTTGGGGGGAACTCTATCTGTCGGGTCGCGCATAGAAACACCGTCAGTGCCCGGAGCGACACTAAGGCTTCATGTCTTGTGAAGTTCGGTCCCAAACCTGTTTCCACCCCAGCTCGATCAGGTTGCTGCAACATCTCTCTTCCCCAAGAGAAGGGCGTTTCCCAGGAGCAAGCCAACCCTCGCTTTTGCCCCTTGCGTACGCACTAGGCCTCCGAGTGCCGTTTGTGTTTCGTTAAGTTGCCTGTAAACCGAAGTTGCTTGTCCGGGTCCCAATTGCGAAGAGCCTGGCCGACCATGCAGGAAAGGACACGCATAGTGTGCTTGCATCCAGATGTCGCGACGCTGTTCAGGATGCAGGCCCAACAAGAGTGCGTCGGCATGTGCCAGCAGGCGACCAGCTGCCCAGCACAACGTGTTCACCAGGCAAGCAGAGCAGCCGGCCCAAGAAAGATGTAGTGGGTTGCCGACGTCCGTGGGAGCTTCGTCATGATGGCCCGCAGCCCTTTCCCGATGTGGCGTGAGTTGCAATCACTTGCCGCCGGCGGCGCTGGCGGCGCTGGACGCAAGTCATGTGGTGTGTACGACAAGCGCTGGCAGGCACCCCGACGGGGATGAGCGGTTCAGTGTGCAAAGGGTGCTACAACGTAGTGCGTGGCATCTGGGGAAACAACACCTAGTCAACCCTATCTATATCCATCTCATGCCGTAGTGATCTGTAGAGCATCTGCGTACTCTACGGTCAGCCTTCTGTCACACTGATCTTGTGCGTCGCATCTGGATCAGCGATCACCTCGCACGTCTGGAGGGCTTCGGGTGTTTTACGCCCCTCACCTCCCTGATGCTCCCTGTATACACCATTCCTTTGGGTCAGATCCCTGGGTCATCCACGCAAGACTGCACGAAACTGCCGAACCCCGTCCACCTACATCCACCCTGCCTCAGTGAAGCGGCTCGGGCCCAATTCTGGGCTGAGGGTGTCCAAGATCCACTGGAGGCTCTC